TCTGAGTTCCCAGGCACTGCTGAACTCTCATCTAGTTTTTCATGTTGCCACTTAGGATGTCAAGTTCAGAAAAATAGAGGACTTTTCACAGCAATGCCTGAAGCATCCGTCCCTCCCTCCCTCCCTCCCTCCCTCCCTCCCTCCCTCCTTCCTTCCTTCTTGTTTATTTATTTGAGAGGTAGAGCTACAGACAGAGGGAGAGACAGACAGACAGAAAATCTTCCATCCGCTGGTTCACTCCCCAAATGGCCACAATGGCTGGAGGTGGGCTGATCTGAAGCCAGGAACCAGAAGCTTCTTCTGGGCCTTCCATGCAGGTGCAGGGGCACAAACACTTGAGCGATCTTCCACTGCTTTCCCAGGCTATAGGCAGAGAGTTGGATCCGAAGAAGAGCAGCCCAGACATGAACCAGCACACACATGCGATGGCAGTGCCGCAGGTGGAGGCTTAGCTTACTATGCTATAGCACTGGTCCTCAAAAATATTTAAGATGTCCTGAGACACTGCTTAGGGTGGTAGGTTTATGTGAATTTTCCTGAGACATGCTGTCTTTTCAATATGTAGATTAAAGTCTTCCATTTGTTTAAAATATTACTTTCTGAATTATATATTTTTATGTTCTGTATATTCATTTATTCTTCAAATTTACACATTATGCAGATATTGAACGTCCTTTGTTTTCTATAGTTGTAAATTCTTTATAATTTCTTTTTTAAAAAATATTTATTTATTTATTTATTTGAAAGGCAGTTACAGAGAGAGGGAGAGACAGACTGAAAGATGAAGAAAGAGACCTGTCCATCTACTTGTTCACTCCCCAAATGGCCATGATAGCCATGACTGGGCCAGGTTGAAGCCAGGAGCCAGGAGCTTCACTCAGGTCTCCCATATGGGTGGCAGGGGCCCAAGTACTCAGCCATCTTCTGCTACTTTCCCAGACATATTAGCAGGGAGCTAGATTGGAAGCAGAACTGCCAGGACTCATAGGGTGCTCATATGGAATGCCAGCATTGCAGGCAGTGGCTTAACCCTTGAGCCACAATTGCCTGACCTGCTATAATTCTTTTAAACATCTTTCTGCTTATAGTTTGCTAATTGCTCTCTGATTATACCTGTTTTGAATAACCTTTGTTTCTATGCTGTTTATTTTTCCTCCTGTAACTCTTCTGAATATAAATACCTTGGTTTTCATCTCTGTGCCATTTTTCATTCTTTTTAAACATTTTTATTAGTGATCTGAACCCTTTATAAATGTTTTGTCATTGTTTTTTGAATTCTTGGGAACAGATTTCAGACATAATTATTAACTGTTTTGCAGTATTATTTCTCTAGTTTAATAACACCAACTGTAGGTAAGAAGGGTCTCTTATAGAAATAGGTAAAAGATAAAAAAGAGAAACAGTGGTATCACTCCATTTTAGCAATATTTACCAAAAATATCCACTTTCAAAAATCTATGTTCAGGATGCAGTGGCAAAATATGAAAACATTACACATACAAGGTATTTCCCATATTACTGTTGAGAATAGGATAATATGGAAAATGAGCCAGTGATCAAGAGAATACTGGTTGAATTAATTATGATACACACACACAAGAAAACACCACGAGTTTGTAGAAATGGCATGAAGGAGAGTGGATGTTTTGCTCAGTGGTTAAGACCCTGTTTCAGACATCCCCATTCTGTGCCAGAGTGCCCAGTGCTGCTTCCCACTAATGTTCACCCTGGGAGGTGGCAACAATGGCCCACATACCTGCATCCCTGCCACTCATGTGAGAGACTTGGATTGAATTCCTCCTGGCTTCTGGTGTGCTTCATCCAGCCCTGGCTGTTACAAGCAGTTTGGGAGTGAATCAGCAGATGGAAGACTCTCTCTCTCACTCTCTCCCTCTCTCCCTCCCTCCCTCCCTATCTCTCCCTCTGCCTTTCAAATAAATTAAAAATTTTAAAAGGAGTTAGGAACATCCCTATATCTTTATATACTGCTGTTAGTGATCACTGAGATACATGAATGTGCTTCCAAAAAGTTCATAGAAAAATGGAATTAATAGGTAAGTTTATTTTGGTGTCAAATTTGCAACCCATGAGGAGTATTTTTCATAACACATGTTTCCCATAAATATTTGAAGACCTCCTATCGTGTGAATAGTGAGGTGCAGAATGATGCTTTGTGAAAAGACAGAAAAATGAAATATTTATATTTACTTATTTGTATAAAGAGTAATGAAAGGATAAATAAAATTTAATTAAATGGTTATACATCATGGGAGGGAGGTAATTGATTTAGGAATCAGAAATTGTACCAGACTTCTTTAAGCATAATTTGTTTTGCAGATTGAGCTTTAGACCAATGTAATGCTTTTGCATAGTTATAAAGCAAATGAAAATAAAATGCAACAAATAAAGTTAATTGTCTATGAAATCTGTGACTTAAGCAGACAGAATTATTTCAAATGATTTGGGAACACAGTACTTTGACTTTATTATCTCTTCTGGGATTAACCCTAAAGATGTGTATGTGCACACAACTATAAAGAAATATTTTCAATGATCATAGCATCATTCTTAACATTCATGTTTTTATTTTAATGCATGTGCATAATACATTTATTACTATAGAAAAAATAAATATTAACAAATTTTTGGAACCAAAAATTTCAAAATAAAAGAAAATAATTACAAATATGAGTAAAAAAGGAACCCTGAATTCTAAACATGAAATGGAAAGATAACTATGAGTTTATGATGCATTTTCTTCTATGATTTTAAGACGGAAACTTTGCCCTACCTAGTATCAGCTTCCTAGATTGAAATTTTTAAGTGACTTTTCTCACCACCAGTAGGCAGGGCTCTGTAGAGGTGTGGCTCAGTGCAGGTTTGGATTAGACTAAATGGAGCAGACCAAAGAGCAAGGAAACTATCAAAGATTATTAGGGATGGGTCAAGAGGATTTGGAAGCCAAATTGAAGGGTCTCCTACTGACCAAAGATCAGATGCTTGGAACATTAAAAAACAAAACAATACAAAACAGAACAAAATTACCCTGCAATTTGAAATCTAGATAATGAGATTAGGAAACTGAATAGCTGAATTTTCAATTTTGTTTAACGTATATTAATTTATTTAAGTAGCTACATATAGCTGGTGGCTACCATATTAGACAACACGACAAGGACTACAGATTAAGCTAAATTCAATGTGCAGAACTTGCTTGGATACTAATATAGAAAAACTAGCAAGATGTTTCAAGTACAAAGAGCAATAATGGGACCATTTGGGAAATTTAAGATCTGTGTGGATGTTTGAACTTAATAGATTCTTGTTAATTATTTGTGTTAAAATAGTATAGCTATGTTTGGGATTGATGCTGTGGCACAGCGACTTAACCCATCACTTGAAATGCCAGCATCCCATATTGGAGGACTGATTTGAGTCCTGGCTGCTCTGCTTCCAAGCCAGCTCCATACGCATGTGCCTGGGAAAGCAGCAGCAGATGATCCAAGTATTTAGGCCCCTGCTATCCATGTGTGAGACCCGATTGGAGCTCCTAGGTCTTCACATCAGCCTAGACCAAACCTGGCTATTGTGGCCATTTGAGGAGTGAACCAGTAGATGGAAGATTTCTTTCTCTCTCCTTTTCAAATAAAACCGAATAAATATTTCTTTAAAAATTATGATAGCTGTGTTCTTAAAGTCAACATATTTTCAGAAAATAAAAGGTAGTATCAATAGATAAAATATTATACATATGATTTTCCTCAAAATAACACAGAGGGCTGGGAAAGGAGAGAGAGAGAGAGAGAGAGATATTGATTGATTAATGGTTAATTGATAATTGTTGAAACTAGGAGTATTAATTTCCTTTGAACACTGTAATACCACAAAATTGGTGGCTTAATATAGCACACATTTATTCTCCTCCATTCTGAAGGTCAATTCTAAAGTCAGCTTTATTGGGTTGAAATTAAGGTGTCTTCAAGGCAGCCTTCCCTTTAGAGGATCTAGTTAAGAGTCCATTTCTTTGCTTTTCACAGCTTCTTGAGCTCTACTCCTTGTATTCCGTGCTGCATGGTTCCTCCCTCTGCCTTCGAAGACAGTGGTATAGCATCTCCTAACTCTGCTTCCCATCACCTTCACCTCATGGCTTCTTCTGGTCTTCAGTCATTGCCCTTTACCTCCCTCTTACGAGGATACTTGTGATTATGTAATAGAGTCTGCTCAGGCAGTCCAAGGTAATCACTCTGTCTCAAGATCCTTACCCAACTCCATCTGAAAAGACTCCTTCTCCACATACAGAAGCAGGACCTGGAACTCTTTGTGAGCTAGTATTATTCATCCTACTTTGCCAGGCAGTCACTATCTTATTCTCTGGCCTGTGGTATAGGTTGGACAATCTTCAAATTAAGCAGCAAAAGCTAAATTTGTCCAATGTGAAAGCACAACCACTTGTATAATGTCCTCGATTTAGACGGGATCCCAGAACCCATAATCTGCAGAACAGTTCTCTGCTGGCCTTGGGCCGACACAGTTCTCCCCCTTGCTTACTGTGGAATTCACTGGGTTGTAGAATTCTGCGATGGGCTAGGATCTGGTCAGAATAGCCTAGACTCTGAGCTTCTTTCCCCTCTCCTCCAGCACTCTAGCCCAATGTGTCACGTGGCTTCGGGGGTATTTAATCGTGTGGGATCCTTCGGCTGTGGGTAAAATAGCATTCACAAGTGAGACTGTCCTGACCCCTTTCCTGAGCCTGTAGAACTGTTTTACAATGAGTCCTGGGCTTCTCTTGTACCTCTCTGCTCATCTGTAAGTAATAAACTCACTTCGTGTAATGTGTGTGTGTCTGTTCTATCTCACCACACTCAGACACTTGTAACCAGTATGCACTGTGCCTACTTCACTTACATATTCATTCTGACAAATAGCCAGTTATCAGAAATCACAGATCATTTGCAGGCTTTGTGAGTTACTGACCCAAACAAATGCTCTTCTTCCTACAGAGGTATTTGAAGAACGATGAATTCTTTACACCTGGAGGCCCAGTGTTTCTAATGGTTGAAGGAGAAGTAGCTGCCAATCCAGACTTGCTAAAACCCAATATTACCTGGGTTAATTTTGCTCGGAGACTGGGGGGCCTTTGCTTGCTTCTGGAGCACAGATTTTATGGATTCAGCCGACCAACAGAGTAAGTGGAAAGTCTTGCTTTGTGGGATTCCTCTTGTTGCTGGTGTTATTCTCTACCTCTCTCTTTTTCATTTTAAATCTAAATATCGTCCATTTTTAGAATAGTGAATACCTGAAAATTCAAACCATAAAAAAAGGGGAAGGCATTTGACACCCCAGTTAAAATGCTGTTCAGGATGCCTGCATCCTGCATGGATGTGTTTCGATTTGCGTGCTGGTGTGAGTTTGTTGTTAACGCATACCCTGGGAGGTAGCAGATGGTACTTAAATTGGGTTCCTGCCACTCACACAAGAGACCTGGAGTGAGTTCTGGGTTTCTGGCTTCAGTTGGCCCGGGCAGTTGTGGCTATATAATGAGTGAACGAGTGGATGGTAGTTTTCTCTTTGTCTCTCTCTCTCTCCGTCTCGCAGACTTTCATATAAATAAAATAATTACATAAACATTTTAAAGAAAGAAAAACTGGGTGTAGAGGATTGGAATAGAACAACTTTCTTGATTAAAAAAAGACTCATATAATATTTATTTTGAATAAAATAAACTCCTCAGGTAATATAATTTAGTTTTTTTGAACATATTTAAGCAAAAATAATATACCTATTAATTTTTTCAACTCCAGTGGAATTTTAAATCATGAAATACTCTCCCCATAGAAGCAGGGATGACAATTTAGTTTAAAAAAAAAACTTATCAGGCCGGCGCTGCGGCTCACTAGGCTAATCCTCCGCCTAGTGGCGCCGGCACACCGGGTTCTAGTCCCGGTCGGGGCGCCGGATTCTGTCCCGGTTGCCCCTCTTCCAGGCCAGCTCTCTGCTGTGGCCCAGGAATGCAGTGGAGGATGGCCCAGGTGCTTGGGCCCTGCACCCCATGGGAGACCAGGAAAAGCACCTGGCTCCTGGCTCCTGCCATCGGATCAGCGCAGTGCGCCGGCCGCAGCCCGCCGGCCGCGGCGGCCATTGGAGGGTGAACCAACGGCAAAGGAAGACCTTTCTCTCTGTCTCTCTCTATCACTGTCCACTCTGCCTGTCAAAAAAAATAAAATAAAATAAAAAAAAACTTATCAAAGATGACCAGCTATCCCACTAAATTTCAGGCCAACATGTCAAAGTGAAGAGCAAGAATATGAGGCCTATTTTTTCCTCAGTATTTTAATTTTACTCTCTACATTTCTATTTTTCATCAGCTTACTTATTTATAATTATAAACTGCTCATTGTACAAATTCAAGCAAATAGAATAAAGTTTAAAATGTACCTCTCTCAAGGTTATGAAAAATCCAATGTAATGTCAAGGCCTTTTGTTCTCATTTAAATAAGAAGCAAGGATTGCTTTTTGCAACCCTGAGAGTGTCATTAGTGTCAGTGAAGTGATACCTTTATTATATGAGTCATAATTCTGGGTACCATTTATCATGACAGACCAATAATTACTCAAAGTTCCACCACCTTCTTTCCTGCTGTGACTCCACAAATGTGATTTTGGATTCTGAGTCACATGACTTTGGATGATGAGGTGACATTCCAGCAGTTCTATCACTTCTGTATTTCTTTATGAGAAACTTGCATTTGCATGTGGGTGTTAACAATATTTGATATCCCATAAATAGTTTTAAATTTGGGGTTTCTTTGTTAATCTCTCTAAGGGAATAAAATAATTTTTAAATAGGTGATAACTCATGTTGAGAGAGATTAAAGTAGTTTGCCATACAAATTGTCTTTGCGAGGCTGGAAATACTCGTCAGACTTAACCTGCTGAAATTTTTATCCTTTGATGATTTGCCTAGGAAGGAGGAAAAATATCATTAACCCCTAAATGTTGTAGTATCCCTTTTATCCTCAACTACTAATGGGAATTCTTCATTTGCTAGCACCCTTTATACCAATGTGGAAGATTTACTTCTTGCAGAGAAAGATGCTAAATTGATTTATATGAGTAGGGGAAGAATGAAAAGAGGCCTATATGTTTGGGCTATAGGAGAGAGTTTAGGATATACTTTATGCAAGATTTCAAAGCAGGGATATAAGAACTGGAGAATGGAAGAAGAGCCTTTGGAGAAGTTCTTATTTAGGTTATGTACTTCCCTTTAGTATTTTTGAAAGGAATCCATAAAAGATGAAATTCCTTATTGCTGGCTGTGGAATTATATGTCTGTAAATTTGTTTCATGCAGAGACTTAGCCATGAACATTGTACCTTCATGTTTGTTCCACCTCCTCATTTTCTGTTATGCTTTGCACAGGACTTGGCTTCCCAAACTCATGAAGATGTTTAAACCCCAAAATCTTAACGCTAATGGTTAATGGATTAATGGTGATGAATTAAGGATGAGGACTTGATCCAATTATGGTGTCCATGATTGGACTGGATGAGGTTGCTAGAGTGGGCCTCCAAGTCATTGACTTTAGAAGGAGAATGCACACAGAGTAGATGAAAAGTGTGCTCCATGTCTCCCACCTCCCTGACTCCCCATGTGATCCTCCCCCTACACACATGTTCATCTATCAGTCATGGGACTAATGGGGCTTCCTGACCTTAAACTGTGAACACCTAAAGCTACAAGCTGAAATAAACCTTCTTTCCTAAGGAGCTCCTCTCAGGCATTTTAGATTAGTAATGAGAAGTTGACTAGTATACCACTGCACCACTAAACTATTAAAGACTCTAATTTATTTGGCTATGTCTTAAATTTTGATAGGGTTCCCTCAGTTATGTTGTTTGTGAAATGAAATGTTTTTTTTTTTAAAAACAATTTGGAAAAATAAATTAAGTGTCATGTATATGAATGGATTTCAGCAAAAGGCTACTAGGAATACTTGCACACAGATAGTTAAGATAATTAGATTTATTATGCATTACAGCAAGAGAATTTATACAATAGGGGAATTGGGGACATCCTGGACAGAAGGTGTTGAGAAGAACCTACACAGACACATGAAAAAATGCTCAGGATTACTAGCCTCAGGGAAATGCAAATAACACATCACAATGTGGTGTCTCCTCACTTCAGTTAGAATGACTATTTTCCAAAAATCAGAAAAATAACAAGTGCTAGTGAGGTTGTGGGGAAAGAAGTACCTTAATACACTGTTGGTGGGAATGGAAATTGGCACAACCATTATGGAGAGTAGTATGGATATTCCTCAGAAAACTATGAATAGATCTCCCATATGACCCAACTATCTCACTCCTGGGAATATATCCAAAGGAAATGAAATCAGCATATGAAAGAGACACCTGCACTCCCATGTTTATAGCAGCTCTGATCACAATAGAAAAGATATGCAATCAACTCAGATGTCCTTCAGGTGATGATTGGATAAAGAAAATGTGATATATATATATATGTATATATTATAGAATGCTACTCAGCTTTAAAAAAGAATGAAATACTGACATTTGCAACAAAATGATACAATTGGAGGTCATTATGCTAAGTGAAATAAGCCAGACCCAGAAAGACAATTATCACATTTTTTTCCTATTTGTGGAAATTAATAGAGAGTATAAAAATTGTGTCAATGTCATATAATTTGATTTTTAGTTATAAATATTTCTCAGCAGAATCATATCATGTAAATGAAAATATATCTTTCTTTCTTCACATTATGATTATCATGGATTTCTCTGTGATATTAATATCTCCATCTTCAAGAAAAAAAATCAGTGTATATGTGTATGTATTAATGTCTACATTTGAAGTTAATGCAGCAAAATGTTAAAATAAATTGTAAAAATAAAGAAAAAAAGAAAAGAAGAACCTACCATAGTTTTGGGATTTAAATAGCTAGGGTTCGAATAGCTAATTTGGGGGAGAGTCTAAGGAAGTGGGAATTTGCTTCGATTGGAAGCTGTCAGAAAGTGGGAGGTGATTGAGTAGCTCGATAAATCTTACATATAGGCAGGGAGAAATAGCAATCCGTTGTTTTGGCCCCAAAAGGGATTGTTTGGTACTTTGTAGATAACGTGGTGGCCTTGTTTTTATCTGTGCCTAAACAAAATTATGCAGTGGCCTTGTCTGATCTCATTTTATTGGAGCTCAGTGTAACCTTGTCTGTGACAATATTTAAGAGATTATTTACCTAGGAGATAGGAGCTATGAGTTTCAGGCTAGCATCCAAATGTCAGAGCTTGTTTTAAACAATTTTTCCTCAGTTTCTACTTTGTCCAAGGACCCATGAAGTTACACCACAGGGTGCCAATCTATGATATCCAGATTTTTGCCTTTGCTGGGTTTTGTTGTTTAACATTAGAGGAGTGACCACGGAGCAAAATCTAGTGACCCAGGATTAATCTTTCCTTTTGCTGTAGGATGAGTTGTTGAACTATCTGAAGTGACAAGGTTGTACAGTAACATTTAAGACTGCCAAGAATATATTGCCCAAATGTAATGTAGCCAATATTTAGAGACAAAATACTGTAAATCCTTGTAGATCTCGTAACCAAGGGCTTAGATTGTGAAACCAAGACAATGAAAACATGTCCTAGAATTCAATAGGTCCTGTTTTAGAGAACCCAGTGGCTTTTTTTTGTTACTGACTCTTCTATTTGTCCCTTAGTGTTTACTAAAGTGTAATAAGTAGCATTTGCTATAGTCCAACCTCCCAAGGGTTGGCAGAGAGATCCAGAGCTGTACATTTGTCCATGATAATTACAGCTAATTGATTTAGATTAGTTTGTTGGACTTTCAGGGCAGAAGTGACATTACTTACATGTCTGCTATGATAAGATACAGTTATCAACCACTTTTCCAAATTGTATTGTCCCTACTGAACTGGAGTAATAGAGTATGTATGAAGAATAAATTTGTTATCCCTCCTGGAAGTTTTTTCAAATAACCTGTGCTTGCTGCATTTTGGAAGTTTCTGGTATTATTTTTAAGGAAATATAATTTCCTGGAGGATTAATAGCTTTAAATATTCAGAAATCTCTAATAATAGCAACAAATACACAGGTTACATTAGTGTGTGGTAGCCAGGTATAAGAACTAACATCCTAGTGGAACATAGATTGTATTGGGAGTGTAGTAACATTTCATATGATGGTATCAATTTTGTGTCTCTTGAATTAGAGAAATTCTTCAGTGGAATTATACAGTTCCTACAAGTAGGTTTACATGTCTCTGAAGAGAACAAACTGGCTATTGCAGCCAGAATAGCTCACCAGATTTGTCAGCAGCATCAGGTAAAGGGTGACAGATTCAGTCACTTACTAGATTCAAAATGGCAGCTAGAGTCTAAGAAAAATATATGAACCTTTTGGTTTTTCTGAAGTAGAACAAGGAGATCATATGGAATCAGAAATAAGTGTATGAAGATTAGGAAATAGTTTTAGTTTTAGGGTGCTGCAAAGTTGAACAATAATCAGGACAAGGTGTTGAGTAATTGAAATTAATCTTGTTCCATGTTGGGCAGAAGTTGTTCAATTCTGTGGAATATTATTTGTTTCAATTTTCTTGGGCAAAAGATAGCCATCACAGAATTTAGGAAAAGTCCTAAGAATCACCACTTTAGGTTTTCTACATATTAATGTATATGTATATTTGTATATATTGAATATAAGATTACTTTAGCCACTCAGGGTTTCCTGTATTTCCATGTGAATTTCAGCATCATTTTTTCTAGATCTGAGAAGAATGTCTTTGGTATTTTGATTGGTTTCACATTGAATCTGTAAATTGTTTTCAGTAGTATGGACATTTTGAAAATATTGGTTCTTCCAATCCATGAACATGGAAGATATTTTTCCACTTTTTGATGTCTTCTATTTCTTTCTTTATAATGTTTATTGTAGAGATACTAGCGTCCTTGGTTGAATTTATGCCAAGGTATTTAATTTTTTTTTGCAGCTATCGTGAATGGGATTGATGTTAGAAGTTCTTTCTCAGCCATGGAATTGTCTGTGTATAAAAGGCTATTGATTTTTGTGTGTTGATATTATATCCCGTCACTTTACCAACTCTTTTATGAGTTCCAACAGTCTCTCAGTGGAGTCTGTCTTCTGAAAATAGGGGTAGTTTGACTTCCCCCTTCCCAATTTATATCCCTCTAATTTCTTTTTCTTGGCTAATGGCTCTGGTTAAAAGAAGTTCCAGGACTATACTGAATAACAATGATGAGAGTGGGCATCCTTGTTTGGTTCTGGATCTCAGTGGGAATGTTTCCAATTTTTTCCCATTCAATAGGATGCTGGTTGTGGGTTTGTAATAAATTGCCTTGATTGCATTGAGAAATGTTTCTTCCATAACTAATTTGCTTAAGATTTTCATCATGAAAAGATATTGGATTTTATCAAATGCTTTCTTTGCATCTTTTGAAATAATCATATGGTTTTTGTTCTTCAGTTTGTTAATGTGATGTACCACATTGATTGATTTGCAAATGTTGAACCATACCAGAGATAAATCCCACTTGGTCTAGTAATTGATCTTTCTGATGTGATGTTGGATTCTATTAGCTTGTATTTTGGTGAGACTTTTTGCATCTATGTTCATCAGGGAAGTTGGTCTATAATTCTCTTTCTCTGTTGTACCTTTTTCTGGTTTTGGAATTAAGGCAATGCTGGCCTCATAGGAAGAGTTTAGAAGAATACCCTTCCTTTTAATTTTTTTTTTGAATAGCTTAAGAAGAATTGGAATTATTTCTTCTTTAAAAGTCTGGTAGATTGGGGCTGGCACTTTGGTGCAGTAGGTTAATCCTCTGTCTGCAGTGCTGGCATCCCATTTGGATACCAGTTCAAGTCCTGGGTGCTATTTTCCAATCCAGCTCTCTGCTATGGCCTGGGAAACTGTAGAAGATAGCCCAAGGCCTTGGGCCCCTGCACCTACATGGGAGACTGGGAAGAAGTTCTTGGCTCCTGGCTTTGATCAGCACAGCTCTGGTCATTGTGGCCATTTGGGGAGTGAACCAGTGGGAGGAAGAAGACCTTTTTTTTCATTTACATATAATTCTTTTATTTATTTTTTCTTTTCTTTTTTAACTTTTATTTAATAAATATAAATTTTCAAAATACAACTTCTGGATTATAGCGGCTTTTCTCCCCCATAACCTTCCTGCCACCCACAACCCTCCCATCTCCCACTCCCTCTCCCATCCTATTCTTCATCAAAATTCATTTTCAATTATCTTTATATACAGAAGATCAATTTAGTATATACTAAGTAAAGATTTCAACAGTTTGCACCCACACAGAAACACAACTAATAAAGTACTATTTGAGTACTAGTTATACTGTTAATTCACATAGTACAACACATTAAGGACAGAGATCCTGCATGGGGAGTAAGTGCACAGTGACTCCTGTTGTTGATTTAACAATTGACACTCTTATTTATGACGTCAGTAATCACCCAAGGCTCTTGTCATGAGTTGCCAAGGCTATGGAAGCCTCTTGAGTTCGCCAACTCCGATCTTATTTAGACAAGGCCATAGTCAAAGTGGAAGTTCTCTCCTCCCTTCAGAGAAAGACACCTCCTTCTTTGATGGCCCGTTCTTTCCTCTGATATCTCACTCACAGCCTAACTCTTCCCTGAGATTTCACACTCTCCATTTTTTTTAAACTTTCTTCCCCTAGACTAGAGCAGTAAGCTCCCTGTGTATTCCACCATCTTGTATTCTCCCCAATGAATTCACTTTTTAAGATTTACTTATATTATTTGAAAGGCAGAGTTACAGAGAGAGAGGGGAAGAGAGCAAGATCAAGATCAAGAATGAGAACGAGTGAGAGAGAGAGAGAGAGAGAGAAAGGTCTTCTATCCACTGGTTCACTCCCTAAATGGCCTCAATGGTTAGGGTGATATTGGGCTCAAGCTGGGAGCCCAGAGATTCTTCTGGGTCTCCCATGTGGGTAGCAGTACCCAAGCTCTTGGGCCATCTTCCTCTGCTTTCCCAGGTGCATTAGCAGGGAGCTGGATAGGAAGTAGAGCATCTAGGATATGAACTGGCACCCATATGGGATGTTGCTATTGCAGGCAGCAGCTTTTACCCACTATGCAACAGTGCTGGTGCCCCAGTGAATCTTTTTGAAGATCCTTTACATATTGCATTATTTGGATGTGGTATGATTTAGACCCAAATATTGCTCTGTCTGATGTAGCAGGCAAATCAGGAAGATTAAAAAATATGAGCATCAAGCCAGTTAACCATGGGTTATCTTAATTCCTTGGATAGAGTTAAATCCCTGACATTCCTTCAGAAAGTCACAGTGATAATTTGATGGTCATGGTTCTATTCAGTGTGTTAGAAAAACTGATCAAATGGATGCAGACAGGCACTTGAAACTCCTTCACAGGGTGACAAGAGGAAACACCAAAATAGGAATGAGACTGTGAAAAATGTGATTAGTGCTGTTCCCGCATCTTGTGTCACTGTTGTCCAGATCACTTCATTACATTTTCAAGTTGGGCCTGGTATAAACATGCTTTGAAAATACACATTTTTATTTTATAAAAGTGTTCTGCTGTAATTGTTTTCATGAACAGACTATTCATGTTTCTGTGGTAGGAATCTGAACACCACCAACCTCCGGTACCTCAGCAGCAGGCAGGCCCTGGAAGATGTTGCCAACTTCCGAAGGGGGATCGTGGAGAAACTGGGCCTCTTCAACAATAAGTGGATCCTGGTTGGTGGTTCTTATGGAGGATCCCTGGCAGCTTGGCTAAGGACAAAATACCCTGACCTATTTGTAGCAGCTCTGGCCAGCAGTGCGCCACTCAAAGCAAAAGCTGACTTTTACGGTGAGTGTATTCACAATACAAGTGAGTGAATGACCTGGACAGATGGATCATTGAATAACACATAAGGGTCTATACCCACCTTCCACATGAAACAACTCCATAGAGAATCCAAAGATATTGTGGCTGGTGGTGATTATCTGTATTTGCAGACATTATTGATTAGTGATAACTTCTTACTGGGTGAAGTAGGTTATGTCTCAGCTGTTGATTTGATAGCAAAAAGAGTCTTTGATTTATCTATTTCCAAAGAAGTACAGGAAAAGCTCTTATTTTTAAGGGCAACATTTCCTATTTCAAAGTTGCCTTTTAATTCACCTTCCTACCGTCTGAGTTGAAAATTATCTATAATTCACATCCCTAGGATTTTCTTATGTAGGTGAACACTGTTGATTGGCAATTTGGGCCTGCAACTAGGCTCCTGGCACAAATGAACAAGGTATCAAACTTTTTCTCAACTGACTTTTCCTTGCAAAGCAATAACAAAATTGAAAAAGCAACCATAAAAACCCAGACATACAGTTTGGATAAAATCTGCTTTAATCTTTGGATTTCTTTGAGATGAATAAGTATCCATCCATAAGCTAGTTCAAGTATTGGGCCATTACCACCCACATGGGAGACCAGGATGAAACACCTGGCTCCTGCCTTCAGTCTGACCCAGCCCTGGTTGTTGTGGCCATCTGGAAAGTGAACCAGCAGATAGAAGATCTGTGTCTCTCTGTCACTCTGCCTTTCAAATAAATGAGTAAATAAATCTTCAAAAATTCTGCTAAAATCATTTTTTGAAATCCATCATATGAGGGATCTTCAAAAGTTGTGAAAAATGAATATTATGAAAAAAAAACCTGTGCAGGGATTTCAAAACTTTTTTGGACAAAATGATCTTATTTTAAAATTTATTTATTTATTTGAGAGAGAGAGAGAGAGAGAGAGAGAGAGTTCCATCAGCTGGTTCAACCCCCCAAATACCTACAAGGGCCAGGACCAGGTTGGGCTTGAAGATGGGATCTGAGAACACACAGGTGGTAGGAACCCAATTACTTGAGCTGTCACTGTTGCCATTCAGTGTCTGCATTAGCAGAGAGCTAGAATTGGAAGCTGGAGCTGGGGGTCAAGCCTATGTATTCTGATATGGGACACTGGTGTCTTAATTTCTAGGCTCAATTTATAAATCTATTTTTTTAAGAATTATTTTTATTTATTTGAAAGACAGAGTTACAGAGAAAGGTAGAGACAGAGAGACAGAGTCTTCTATTCCACTGGTTCACTTGCCAGATGGCCCCTGAAGCCAGGAGCCAGGAGTTTCCTGTGGGTACAGAGGCCCAAGGACTTGGGCCATCTTCTACTGCTTTCCCAGGCCATAGCAGAGAGCTGGATCGGAAGTGGAGCAGCAGGGACTCAAACTGGCGCCCACATGGGATGCCAGCACTGCAGGCCAGGGCTTTAACCCACTGCGCCACAGTGCTGGGCCCTATAAACCTATTTTTAAGTTGATTTTTCCATGAAGTTTTTTTAAAAAGTATTTTATCTATTTAAAGTTTTTTAAAATGTATTTATTTGAGAGGTAGAGTTATAGACAGAAGGAGGAAGAGACAGAAGAAAGATCTTTCTTTCGCTCATTCATTCCCTAAATGGCCACAATGGCTGGAGCTGAGCCGATCTGAAGCCAGGAGCCACAAGCTTCTTCCGGGTCTCCCTCGTGGGTGCAGGGGCATGAACGCTTAGGCCATATTCTACTGTTTTCCCAGGCTATGAGCAGAGAGCTGGGTCGGAAGAGAAGCAGCCAGGGCCTGAACCGGTGCCCATATGGGACCTGCTACACCACAGCGCCGACTCCTATTTATTTACTTATTTATTTATTTAAAGTTAGAGTGACACAGAAGGAAGGGGATAGAGAGATGGAAAGAGAGTAGGAGAGAGTGAGAAATTGGGGTGGGGGGGATCTTTCATCTCCCATTCATTCCATAAATGCCTGCAATAGCCGAGCCTGCTCAAGGCCAAAGTCAGGAGCCAGAAACTCCAAAGGTTTCTTCTATGTAGATGGCAGGAACCCAAAATTCTTGAGCCATAATCTGCTGAATAGGAAGTGAAGGAGGGTCACAATCTCAGGCACTCTGATGAGGGATGTGGGTATCGCAAACTATCACATAATCTTCTGTGCCGCTCACTCCATCTCTGTGAATTTTTTGAAGTACCCTTCTATAAAGGAGAAGATATTACAAACTGAGAAGAATTAAATTCTATTAAAGAATGCAATTAAATCATACTAATTCACAGTCTTACCATTACTGCTGTTATTTTTCATACTTGTAGAGTTCCTTGAAGTAGTTCAAACTTCTCTGGCTGCTTATAACAGTGACTGCCCAAAAGCAGTGAAAAATGCTTCAGCTACCCTGGAGGAGATCCTGAGCTATCCAGACCTCCACATAAAGGTTGCAATCGACTTCAAGTAAGTGAACTAGTTTGTGTGTGAAAGAATCTACGCCCAAACAGTTTTCATTTGAATTTTACACCATTCATGTCCTTTAAGGAAGTCTGCTTATCTAGGAAGAAGACGGAACACTTTTATTCTTTTGGGATGTTGTTTATGTTACAGACTTTTATATTATCTAAGAAAAGGGAGTGAGAGCACTGTGTGTGTTGTAAAACTGATGGGAGTGAATAGCAGAGAGGAAAAGTGTGGGCGCAACAGGTGCAGGCTCACAGAGGATAGGACAGGAAGGATGTCCCCAGTGGGATCCTTCAGCTGCCCTGACAGCCAACAGCCCGAGGCACCACAAAGCACTTATCCTAGCAGAAGGGAACCCAGAGGAGGAAGTTTGCAGTTCCCATGAGGCAAACCTAGGTGAAGCTTCTCAAGCATATAGAAGACAAAGACCCGATGTGGTGCTGGAGATGTCAAGAGCTGAACAAAAAGTATGCTTGTATTGGGATTCTCCCTGGTTGAAGAAGGAAATCTTTGTTCTATCATTTAGACTGCAAATTTCCCCCAGTAATGGAGGAGGGTCTTTCCTCCCCACCCCGCCACCTCCTTCCTTCCCCCTCCTCTTCCCCTCCCTCCCTCCCTCCCTTCTCCTCCTCCTCCTCCTCTCTCTCCTTCTCTCTCTCTCCTTCTCTCTCTCTCTCCCCTTATCTCTCTCTAAGTGGGAGATCTACAAACTAAGGATAAGAAGCTGTGGTGTTTGTCTTTCCCTCCAAAAATGAAAGAATATCTTCAGGAGTACACAGGGATCTAAAGGCAGTACCTAGTTTCATTCTTGGTGGTACTTAGGTTACAGCAAAGAAAGGAGGGGGTGACAGCCTAAAAGAAAACACTGTATCAGGCCGCAGTACCACTTCAGCAAGGTGAAGATCTAGAGCTGTCAGAAGTTGTGCTGGCAGCATCACTCTTGTGCATGTGTGTCTCCTCTGCACTATGTCTCTCTTCCTTTGGCTCTGGGAGATTAATTAGATTTTGATGATGATAAAATGTACCAGCAGGGGGTGCCATTTCCTCAAATTTCCTTTCTTGGATGATTAAAGGTCATTTGTAGATTCTGTGTCTTTGCAGACTAGAGGAGGCTAATTGTGAGTGCATCAAATAATAGGGGTCTCTTGGTCACGGCGCTGTCTAAATTGAGCATTTTCCAGATGAGAGGAGAGCACAGCTGTCATCCCCACTTGCTCTGTTTTGTGCCATGGGGTAAATGTCACCCATTGACCACAAGGGGACAGGAGAAGATCATGGAAGTGGGTCAACAGACTGAACACTTTTAGTGGAAAGCCATCAGCATACACCACCTGCCAATGGAAAGTCACGCTAGTAGTTTTGTTTAAATCAAAAGCATTTGGGTTTTGTGTTTATAGATTTTCAATTCTGTTTGAGGAAGAAGGTCTTCAAACCTTAACTCATTCATCATATTTTACCTTTAAGCTGCAGAATTAAGTAAAGGCATGCTTGCTAGTGCACATTCTAATATTCCATTAACTTACTAGCAGATAATGTTTTTCCAGACTGTCAGTTTGCTCCATGTTCCAATTTATGTTCTTAGAGATACCTTAGTCCATGTAGGGATCTCATGGGGGACTTGGCAGGTTTGTTTCAGACTAGTACAGGCAGCAGGAAGTTCCTTGGTGAGTTGAGACTTGCAGGAGGGCACTGCCTGCTGCTGCCTTGAACCTTAGGCAATGTGACTGCTCATACCTGGAACCTTCATGGCCTTGTTTGTTCAGAACCCTGCCCCAGAAATCCAAAGTGGTCTGTCTGTGACCCCAGCACCAATGGGAGGGACCAGAATTCTGGATTTCCAAAGCCAATCTCCCAGTTTAGAACCATCTGCTTCCGATTCTTCTCTGCTTGACCTGGAATCTGATTCAAGTTTTGTTTACCCTTCTGAGTACTCCAGATTCAAAAACAATGAACTAGGGTTCAGAAGAGCCAGGCACTAGTCCTAATGATACCTGTTTGACTTATAAAAGGTGATACCCTGATCCTAACTCAAGCTGCATCCCTTTGCATTCCTGAATCTTTGTAGGAATCAAAAGAAGACCTTCCTTTTTCTCTCTTTCATTTATTCTGTCCTTCCAATACCATTTCCACCTACACCTTTGACTTCTTTCTATTCTGCTAGGCTTCTATGCAATCTGATTATAATAAAATATTCAAGAGACCCTCTAAATACAGTTTTGACTCTAGGATGCTTCTAAAGACTGATTCTGTGCTCCTCCTCCTACCATAGATTTATTGGACTAGATGGCAATGTTTCTTTCTGTTTGAAAATTTATTTAACTTGAAAGAAATGCGCACGAGAGAGAGAGAGAGAGAGAGAGAGAGAGAGATCTCCTAACCACTGGATAACTCAACAAATGCCCACAACAGCCAGTGCTGGGCGAGGACAAATTCAGGGGCCTGGAAGTCAATCTAGGTCTCTCCTGTGGGTGGCAGGGACCCAACTACTTGAGCCATCACCTACTGCTTCCCACTTTATACATTAGTAGAAAGCTGGAATTGGAAACAGAGCTGACACTCAAACTCAGGCTCTCCAATATAGGGTATGGGCACACCAAGTGGCACTTAACTGATGACTGATGTTACTGTTGCTGGTGGAAGTTTACCAGGCTAGTCTATGCACAGAGTTGAGAACTATTAAAGAGAGGGAATATAGTCAAGAGGATTCTTGTCCCTGGAGAAGAAAGGCTTAACTATTAGATATATCCAGTAAAGGAAAAAGTATTTGATCAAGGGATGGGAAACCAGTAACAGGATGAATTAAACTTTTTTGCCCCATGGATAGAAACTGGTGTAGTAACATCTTTTTCTTTTATATTTCATCTCTTTAATGTTTTTCTCCCATCTCACCCTCTTTCTTTCTCTTTCTGGAAGGAGTGGGAGTGGAGGGATTAAATGTCAGGTTGAAGAAGATTGGGCTCAGTGGGGAGGATTGGGGGAACTCAGTTCAGATGGAAAGTTGAAGTTTACAGGCACAGTGACAGGACCTGACAACACAGCTTGCAACTGGAGACCCAGGCTGACAACCAGAGGAACATTTTAGGGGCTCAGCATCTGTCCTCAGCATGTTGGCCAATGCTGCCACATAAGAAAGATTCTCAGCTGCTCTCACTCTTTCAGTCTTCCAAGATGCTTTGCCCTCAAAATCCGACCCTACTCAAAGTACTTTCAGAACTAACTCTTCTTTCTAGTTCTCAAATAAAAATTCACTCATGGTCCTCATTACTGCCAAAACATAAGGACTTTATTGGACAGCTGGCAGTTAGTTTCCTAGCCACTAGGATGTTAATCATGACAAGACTGTGACTATTTAGAATAAGTGTTCCCAAACTTTAACATTCTACTAAATAGACTATCTAAAAAGCTTAATTATATATATTTCTTAAAGTAATCACACACACACACACATACAAGCATGCTTATTAACAAAATAAATGAATTTCGTGGAGCTGGATTTTTTAAAGAATTTATTTATTTATTTATTTATTTGAGAGGTAGACTCACAGAGAGGATGAGACACAAAGAAAGATCTTCCACCTGCTGGTTCACTCCCCAAATGTCTGCAATGCCTGAAGCTGGGCCAGTCTGAAGCCAGGTGCCAGAAGCTTCTTCCAAGTCTCCCATGTGGCTGTGGGGGCCCAAAGCACTTGGGCCATCTTCCACTGCTTTCCCAGTCCACAGGCAGAGAGCTAGATCAGAAGCAGAGCACAAACTAGCGTCCATATGAGATGCTGGCACCACAGGTGGAAGCTTAGCCTACTATGTCACAGTGCCGGTCCAATGACCTGGATGTTTCCAAGAGAAGGTACATAATAATCAGTTCATAGGATCCCAGCAAGTATTCATAGGACTCTAAGGCCATACCTCTCTTTTATAGATGATGCAATAAAACAGGGGAGTTTAGTGATTTTTGCCCAAAAATCACAGACCCAGAAACATAATCTAGATTTCTAGTTTTCAGTGGTATTTCTAATGAAAATAATCTTAGGTGTTTAGGCTACTGATTAGGATGCCCACTCAGAAAACCATATGCCCTGTCAGAATCCTGGCTCCGTTCCTGATTCTAGTTTCTGGTAACGTGCACCCTGGGAGGCAGCAGATGTTGGCTCAAGTAGTTGAGTCCCTGCCAACTCCCTCCATGACGGAAGACCTGGAATCAGTTCCCAGTTCCTGGTTTCAGCCTGACCCAGTCCCTGCCAATCCAGGCATTTGGTGAGTGAACAAGCAGATGAAAGTTCTGTATCTTTCTATCTGTCTTTCTAAAACTCAAATAAATAAGTAAATAAATAAAATAATCTTATCACACACATTGCATTGTACCAATTCTAAATTGATTGCTTTTTTGAAAAACTTGATTCTATAAGTGGACACTGACTGTATGTTACTATTATGGTTATTATGCTGAATCATATATTGTGAAAGCTATATGAAGATGCTTTTTATAGAGAATTCACCAATACCACATTAAACTTTTCTAACATCTTTTCTCCTTTCTTCTCTTTTTAATCTTTCATTCTATCCATCCATCCATCCACCCACTCACCTGCCCATCATGCATCCATCCATCCATGACACTGTACTAGGCACAGGGGAAAATAAAGCAGAAAAATAAAGATTGTACTGGGCCTTCATGGAACTTATAGTCATGTGAAGGAGTTGAACGCAAATCAGATATCCACAATACAAGATATGTTTATAATTAAACCAAGATAAATTTTCAAAATGAGGAATTTTGGAGATTAAAAATTTAGAACAAGGGAAGCTATCTTAACTTTAGGACAAGACAGTGAGACTTCTCTAATAATATCATATATGATCTGCCTTCAAAAAGATGAGGAGAAGCAGGCAGAGAACGTTCCAGAGATAGCAACGAAGGTAAGAGTGCTTATCAGATGAAGAACTAAATGGCAGCCAGTGTGCCTGGATGAAACAGGAAAGTAGACTGTGGCTGCATTGAAGGACCTTATAGGATAATGAGATAGGGAGTGCTTGATTGACCTTAAGCAAGATGGTGAGGAATTTGGATTAATTTTCATTTTGAGAAGATAACTGGCTGTAGGGATGACATGGCTTAGGGAGGAGGTGGTAAACACATGGGCAGATCAATGAGCATACTATCACATAAATTTGGCAATTTGAATTTGGGTATTATTACAGACAAGGTGAGTGAAAAACAGAGTTTAGAAAGATTTAGGATGGTATGTGGCAGTTAACAAAGAGTTAGGAGGATAAATACCAATGATGAATTGGATATATGGTGTGAGAAACAGGTAGTTGTCAAGAACAACTCCTGGCTTATTTAACTGGAAAAATTTGCCCAAATGTTAGCAAAAGTTACAATTAAATTAAATTTCATAATCATCCTTTGCTACTTCTTTGCACCACGGAAGTTATAAAGATGGATAAGACAATGAGCCAAGTCTAGTAAGGTCATCATACCTTAAAAAAGACAACTTTTGGAAGATTGGCAACTGTTGTCATTGTATGTACACATTCTAGAAAGAAAGCATTTAGAATTATTTCCTGTTACATCTCTCTATATAAATTGCATATTAATACATATTTGCATTTATAGTCAAGTTCCTACCTTGGGTGAATAATTTTTCTAGCAAAGTCACAAATTTAATTTATTTGCTTAAAGCAAACTCATGGGATAGACTTCTCAGTGTTTCAAAAGTTTGCTTTTATCTAGATGTATGGAATTTCTGAAGTATTTTTATGCTGTTAGGAGGGCTAAATTTAGGTCTAATTATGCCCATTGAATAAATTTTGTCCAATTTCAACTTGGTCTTGGAAGGGGTTGGTGAAATCTTGATTCTTTCACACAGCAGGCCAAGGTTGCAGATTCTGATATATATCAAGGTTCAGTCAAGGCCATTTGTTGGTCCACTGAGACTCAATGCCTCTGATTGAGTCCAAGTGAAATCTATTTCTGTGTGCTTTAATAGATTTCCAGACTGCCTCTGCAAACCAGCGAAGTTCCACTTTTTAGCATAACTGCAGAACTGTGGCCAACTTGTCTAACTTAGCTCCCTGCCACTACTAAGCAATACTGAACTCCTTAAACTGCTAATGCAAAATGAAAGACTGGTCTAATCCAAAACTGATCAAAACTGTTTTAACAGTGACTCCTGGTGTTCTCAATTAACTGCCTAACTCAGAATCTCCAGTGAAACACAAGTGGGGAGCTGTACTTTTTCCTCTGGTTACATAGGAAAACAATTTATTATATGAAACTGAATTTTCTTAGTGAAGCTGATATCAAGCTTGAAACTGTCACTAGTTTATACCTCGTGGTCATTTATGCCTTTGGGTTGTTCACGTGTTCCTGCATGTTCTGGAATCTTCTCTCCCTTCATCTTAACAAAGTTCTGTCAGTCAGAACCTTGATCAAGTCCTAATTCCTGACTTTTGAAATCATAGCTAGACACTGTGCTAAGCATTGCTTCGGGTAATTATGATAACCCACAAGGGGACAACTACTTGTGTCACTGCTATGCAGCCAAGGTTATGGAGTCTTAAAACAGTGAAATAACCAGCCTGACCACCTTTCTCGCTCACTCCAGGGATAGCCCCAGGTTCTTCCTGCCTTCCAGTTCCCTCGGAACAGTCAATCTGAACCCCACAATTGAGCACATATTTAGGCTTTGTTCTTCTTTCCTCCTGTCTTCTCTCTTCCCAATTAGACCTCACATCCATCCAAGGCAAGAGTCATTTTTGGTAAGATCACACAGTAGGCTCAACTAGCATTTTTCAGTTGATTAGACATGGGAAAAACATAAAAATGGGAATATGTAAAGACTTTTTAGCATTTAACTCTAGAAGACTATGAAGTAGCAAAATAATATATGAAATTCAGCTTTCATTGTTGTTCTAGAAACACATTTTTTTTCCCTCACATAAGTTTATGGGTGGAGAGGAGATAGAATGATAGAAATCCCAGTTGAAGGAGATCCATTTCCCAATGGCCATATTTGGATTCTTGCAAATCTTGGTTGATGCCTCTGGTACCACTGTACTTTATGGGATTCTGCTGATCTAGAAAATGCAAAAATTGTGATCCTATAAAACCTTTTTTGGCTCAGATCAATTCCATATGAGTGAAGTAATACAAGCTTGCTTTTATATGTTATGCTCTGAAATGGCATACCCTAATCTTTTAATAGAGAATTAAGTAGATGGCTTTGCTGATGCAGTCACAATTTTGAGCTAGGTTATTTTATAAAATGAGTGGATTAAAATGTGCTTTCCTTTGTCTTAGGAAACATTTTTTAAAAAATGGGTTGATACTTATCATATTTGCCTTAAGAGTAATGTTGGCTTCAACATTATTTACTGAAGTTAAATTTAGAGAGTGTTTTTAGATGGCTTCTGACCTGCAGTGAATTCTATTTGATAGCATCTAAATTCTCCTAAGTGGAAATTAAGGTATTTGCCAGAGTAAGAGTATGCTGTGTATTATTGGAAGACTTCTGCCAATGGTAAAATGTGATCATCTTAGTTGTTTTCTTTTATCTTCTCTCACTTTAAATATTTACCTCAGCACACAAATAGATTCAGAAACAAATCATGGTAATACATATTCCCAGGTTCTTTTCCCAAGAAATTTGAACCTCTTAAATCATCCAGGAAATTTTGGGTTCACATTTCCCTTTTAAACATTTTTTAATTTGGGAAAGTGTCAATATGAAAACAGATTATACTGATTATATTTTTTAAAATTAACAACAAATAAATTTTTATAATGACTTAAATTGACCAATTATTTTTCTTCCAAGGTTAAAAATAGAATGTGAACCTATGTGAGATTTGAATCTCATTAATTTAATTATTAAAGAGTTACAATTAGTGGCAGTAAACCTATGGAAAAATAATTGTTTAGATGTCCCACATTTTTGTAGAACTTTGATTTGGAGTTTAGAGGTAAGGTGATGTTGTAGATTATTCTAGGTGTGTTTCCAAATATATTTTAGGAAGCTTTTCTTGTCCCTTAAACATGAAATGAGTATATTGGGTTAGATACTATTAATTTTAGAAATGGTCAGATTTTAAAGTTTATTTCCCAAAAGCCCATCACTATACTCCTGAGTTTCCATCTTGTTGCCAGTGTATCTATTGCCAGCAATCTCTTTTTGGAGCCCCACAACAGGGAATTACAGTCAAGGACTGGCTCCAGTACTTACTGCTTCTTCTTTACTTTATTTTTAGCAATTGACTTTATCTTTGAGTGCCTGGTATGTGCAGGGAATGGTTCATGGTGGAGTCTCCATAATATTTTGGAATGATGGTTAACAAGGGATATTTGGAGAGTCTCTTGCTCACTCTGTGGTGCTATAATACAATATCTGAGGAGGCAGAATTAATAAACAACAGAAATGTATTTCTCATAGTTTTAAGGTTGGACGTACATGATCAACATATTAGTAGGTTCATTGTCTGGTGAAAGTTTACTCTCTGCTTCCAAGATGGCATCTTCTGCTGTGTCCCTAACTCCACAGGAAAGGCAATAAAAGCAGACAAACTCACTCTCGAGCCTTTTAGTAAGGGCACCAGTCTTACCCATAAGGATGAAGCCATCATGGTCCAATCACTTGTTAGTACCTTTGGGGTTAAACACCAACATATGGATTTTTCAGGGGTCATAATACATAATACATAATTCAATTTTAATTCCATAGATAAACAATTTAGACTATTAGGTAACTAAAAATGATCCATATATCAGGTCATCTGAGTAGTCATTCTGGCAGGTAACACACTTATTCAAAAAAAGTTTGAAAGTTTT